AGATAACAATTGCTATATCCATACCATAAGAAGCCAGTACAATAATTATTAGTCCATGATCCTCAAATTCGTTTGGGTTTTTGTCGATTTGTTAATATGCAAAAAGAAAGAGATCCAAACTTTGTCAAGGAGGTTCTCTTTACCGATGAAGCGGGGTTTACAAGAAGAGGTATAACTAATACCCATAATGAACACGTTTATGCCGTTGAAAATCCGCATGCAATAAAGGTAAACCATTTTCAGCACGAATTCAAAATTAATGTGTGGACTGGAATAATTGGCAATTTCATTGTTGGTCCTGTCATACTTCCACGAAGATTAACTGGAGAAAATTATTTGGATTTTCTACAAAATACGTTGCCAGAATTGTTAGAAGATTTACCTCTCCAACTTCGGTGAGATATGTGGTTTATGCAAGATGGAGCTCTACCACATTTTTCTTTAAACGTTAGAAACCACTTGAATGAACAATATCCACACAAATGGATAGGCAGAGGTAATGACGCACCTGTAAACTGGCCACCACGTTCCCCAGATCTAGCACCGATGGATTACTTTTTATGGGGACATCTGAAATCCACAGTTTACAGGGAACCTGTAGAAAATGAGGAACAACTCTGGCAACGTATTCAAGATGCAATAAACAATCTTAGAGGTGATGAAGAAGTTATGGAAAGGATATATTTTAATTTTCTTCGACGTATAAATCTTTTTATGCGTGAAAATGGTGTGAACATTTTGAACAATTTTTGTAAAATCTCTATTTTGATTATGTTGTAAATAAATATTTTTGTGAAACCTATACACTCTAGATTATTAAAACAGAAATTTAGCGAAAACCATGAGAGTAATCGAGTCTTATCAAGAGTACCTTTTTTAAAGTAAATGAGATGCGCAATCTAAATTTCATACTCAAACTCCTTTTCTTCCATTGGCGTAGAATTTTTAAAGGTGCAATTATTTAAAAATTCAAGTTCTACGGCTATGTATTATTATCGGACAAAATTTTAATACCATTTTTTTGCCACATAAAACTCTACCAATATACCAAATTTCAGCAAAATCTCATATGCCGTTTTAAATTTATATGGGAAAAACGATTTTAAAAATGTAACTTCAAGGCCCTCTGGAGCCCAAACGAAGCAACTTTGTACTAAGGTAATTTTACTTAAATCGACTTATTTTGGTGTAAGGAATATGTGGTATGTAAAGACCTTTTACGGATATATATCTGATATATATCATTTTAAAATGTAATTATTTAATTCAAAAATAGTATTGTTTGTTGCAAAAACTATATTTTAAATTTTAACACATTAACAAAAATCTATATACTAAACAACAAAACCGTTTATTATAACTCAAATTAAAAAAAAAAAAATAAATAAATATTTTAGATTTAAACATTATTTTAATAACATTAATATTTTAACACAAACACATAATTAAAACATATATTCTAAATTCTAAAAAACAAAACCTTTTATTATAACATTTATAACTTTAATATTAAAAAGAAAAATATTAAAAATCAACAGATTTTAACATTGATTAATTATAAATATCAATAATGTGATTCCTATTAGTGACAATAACTTCAGAATCTTCAGATAAGGCTGGTTCCCATGACCACTCAAAGTTCATTTTCTTTTTATCTATATTTTGATTCATATTCTTAAATAGCAAAAACAGAACAAATCGTGGCAAAGCTGGGAACAGGAGCGTATTGAGACATTTTCGGATGTTTAGAATGGTGGAAAACATTTTTAATTTAATAAATAAAAATATCGAATATATCGGATATATATCAAGGCATAAATATCATGATATATATCACTTGACATATATCCTCCGAACCCTGTCTGTGAGACAAAATTTATTTTTAATTTAATTAAAAACGCCTCGTAGTAGTTAATGTTACTCCAGGCTATAAACCCGTAAGTGATGATTGGTATCAATAAGGTTTGTTCCAACTTGGTGTTTGGTACCGTTCTTGTATCATACCAACATCAGTTTATGAACGATGTACTGCGCAAGCCCATCTCTGAATGGTTTTGGAATCGAAAATGAGTTGGAACGCTTTTAAAACTGCTGATGGTTCATAAATAGATAAGATAGAAGAGGAAGAAAATTCTAACCAAACTTTTCGAAAAGAAAATAAAAATAAACTAGTTTTCTGTTTTATAATTATGGATGTTATTGATTTTTTATTGTATCATTCTATATTCTAGAGCACAATGGAAAATATTGGTAAATAATGAATATATTCTGTTCAAATAATTTTGTTTATTATCATTTCTCAATTTACCATTAATTCTAAATCATCGTCATCAAAAAAATCACTGTCTCCTTCTATATCACTCATTTTCCAAATATGATTTATAAATAGTATTTTCTAAATAAAAATGTATATTTTGTTATTATCTACCTATAAAAACATAAAAACGTTGTAAATTTGTAGGTTAAGTTAACTAAAACTAACCTCTATCGGCTCTATCAACATATATCGATCGCTTTGCGCAAGTCAGTTCTAACAGTTCCACAAAAATTTGTGAATCGATATGACGGTACAGAAACGATTCCGGAATCATTTATTTTTTAGTTGGAACGAATTCTGTATCAACCCGCACATCGTACAAATTAAGTTGGAACGCTTGGAGTGTAATACGCATGCGCTGTACCGTTACGGAATGGTTATGTATCAAGTTGGAACAAACCTATAGTAACTGTATACATCCATCACATCCCCATCTTTGACCCGCATTGTATCTGCATATCATTGGGGCTTTTGTGGCCTTATTTTTACTACTTCCTTCTTATTAGGGTTACCAGACGTCCCGCTTTAGGTGTAATTGTCTCCTTTTTTAAGTTGCTGCCTAGCGTCACGCCAAAGTACGAAAATGCCCCGCTTCTCACCAAAATGCCACGCTTTTTAAAACCAAAGTTATAAATAAAGAAATTTTTGAAGAAGTAAGACCTTTTTTTGAGAAGCCCTGGTTTATGTAAAAATATAAGCGGAAGATTTCCCTTTTTAAGTTTTTTTTTAGTTGTTTTTTATATTTTTTAGTATTTTAGTTTTTTATCTCCTCAAAAAAAGGACCTGGTTTTATAAAAATACCTTGCTTTCTAATTTGATCCCCTGTCGTCACCGTTGTCCCGTTTATCCTTTTTGTAAATCTGGCAACCCTACTTCTAATGTATGTTCCAGAGAAGTTTGTCGCCAAGATTTTTCCATTATATATCTATACCATCTAATTTGACGGTTTGGAAATTGAGTTTTCTCTTCCTTGAAAAGTCACATTTCACGGCACCATCTTTCGGTGTGTTCTATTCCTCTTTGGACTATATCAAACAGGATATTTCCAAACTTTTCTCTAGCAAATATGACGCTGTCGTAGGCATAACCTTGACAGTTAGGCTCCACATTGTGGACATCTTGTGGTTGTGCAGATGAAGATGGTGTCTTGTTCTCACTGCGTCTCTGTAGTTCTCGTAGATAGCAGCTGAGCCATCCATTTGGGTGTGGTATCCTTTTTTATTGGAATAAAGGCGAATCTGGCCATTCTCCATGATTCTGGTATAAATCCCAGTACCAGACTGTTCCGGAATATCCGGATTTTGTTTGGTATTTGGAGTATTCCCAAACTTTTGCACCTTATTAAAAATATATTCTAGAAATTGCTAACCTTTTTAATTGGTGTCGTTGTTTCTCCATATGGTGTTGTGCGCGTTGGCGTCGCATCCAAGAAGTAATGGCAGATTTCTTCTCTGGCAGGACTCCACTAGCCTCGATACTTTAAGGGGTGGTGCAGGTCCATCTTCGGCGAAGTAACTAGAAGCTATTACTATGTCTTGTCGTCTCCTCCCAAATTCTAGGTATGCACGAATTGAGACGAGATCACGCGTCACGAATTCTGGAAGACAAGAATATTTAATATTATTTACCATTTTTGGCTACTTCAACACTATACTATAATAAGTTTTATTTGAGGTGACATTATTATGCTGACCTGTATACGATAATATTGAGAGTTATATAAGTTAACATCGTATATATGTTTGTCATAAAAAGTAACTGCTAATGAAAGTATTGCTGCGTGCATGAAACATTCAGTTGTAGATATATGCGAGAGATGTTAATGAATAAGAAGTTAAAATTAAAAGTACCGTTTAAAAAAAAATATATACAAAAAGTAAAGGTAATGTTTCATGTTATAAAACAAAGAAAACGACGTCGCAAAGTTTACTAATTTTTATAAAAAAGATTTACAATATTCTACAAAATCTTTCTTAAATTTTTTAACATTTACAAATGTTTTAATTTAAATGTAGTAACATGCACGTGTAAGGTACAAAATACCTAAATCCGTTTATAGTTATCGATTTTATACAAGAGAGAGACCGGACATCGTGGAAGAAAGACAGCGAAATTAGTAAAAAAATTTAACTCAATTAAATAGCGTTGTTTCTTTTTCCATTTTCTAAAAATACTAATAGACCTGTTTGAAATCGGTTTTTGGTGATTTTCCTTCTGATTTATTACCTTGGAAAGTAGATGATTTATATAAAAAACAAAACAAGCTGACTTATTATTTTTAAAAAAAGTGAAATTTGTTATTTTCACAGTTTTCAACCGCCCTCTGTTTCCATAAAAAAATTATTACGATGTTGTCAAGCCAGCACTTCTCTAGATATCAACACGTTCTTTATTGCTCTTTTCAAATATTTTAAAAATATTCTGTAGTTTTTTCTTAATTTGGGAAAAAAATAGCATTGAAACTCCTATACCCGAAAAATTGTACGTACGCTCTTAATATTTTTTTTACACTCTGCATTTTGCTTCGTATTCTTCTCTGTGTTTTAATCCATTTTAGTCTAATTTTTAATGCATAAAATTAATACACAATTTTAATAAATTTAAATATTATAAACGTCGTATCTACAATCATTTCATATAAACTTAGAAGCATAGTTTTTTAGTAATAAAGATTTTTGTTGTTTCTACAAAGTCAGTCTAGTTCTTTTTTGACACCTCCTCGTACATTATATCAATTCTTGCAGTAGTATGCTTCTACGAAATAATTATTATCAAGAGTTCATCCTTGAAAATGTCAAACTATGATGACTTTTTAATTAATAAAATTTCTTCGTTAAGCACCTACTGCTACCAGTGGTATTTAATTCAGTTAAAATTGCATTTTGCTTTCGTATTTTGATCTAAAAATAGATTAGAGCATTATTTCGTACAATGTAAAAAAAAGAATTATTGTTAACGAAAGATGTTAATTAAGTCAAAGTATTTGTGTAAATAGGAATATATTTAAAATTATTAAAGGGTGAGTTAAAATTTGTTTTCATCGTATTGGCAATTAGCTACTATAACTTTTCTGAAAAATCAATAATTAATCTTAAGATGTAGATCAGAGGTTCCCAAACTCTTTTGTTTCATAGTCCACTTTCAAAATCTATGGAAAATTGCGTTGTGGCTAAGTTTTAACGACGAACAGTTTTCGAAAAAAAAAAAAATCTGATGTGTCCAACACATGACTTTCCTATCTATAGTTATTATAGGCTTTTTCCGGTTATTTTGTACAACCTATTGCAGCATCTCTATAAATGTTTAGAGGATAAACTAAATATATACATTGTCCACATACATCTACCTCGAAACATTTTTCTATAGATATTCATTGAAAACGAAAATACTGAAAAATTTAAATTTCCTACAATTTTTTCATTACGGATATATAATTAAGAAACTTTTAAATCAGAAAGTAAGTAGATATATGAATAAAAATCATTTTTTTAATTTAAACATTTTTTGTAATCAAGTGTCAAAATTATCTAAATTACGCATAATGTTGAACATTATGAAATTGTCGCCAGTTACGAAAGAAACACAAAAATAAATATTTTTTGGTTTTAAAAGCAATATATATTATTATTAAAGTTTATATAAAACAAGGACAGATTGACTTACAACCAAGTAATAATGTTGTTCCGGTCCTTATTTTTCATTCTAAATTAACACAAAATAATTAAAACAAAGATTTGGAAATAACTAATAATTAAATTGCTAATACAAAAAAAACAATATATCCGCCTTCTAAAAGCTTACGTCCTGGACTATAGATCATTTTGCCCTGTGGGTAGGGTTGCCTTGTAAGATGTTCTCAAGTATAAATAGTTTTTTTAATTTTTCAGAATTGAAAAGAATAAAAAATTATGGAAGAAATCAAACCAAATCAAGTGATAAGAAAATCTCACCCCTTAAAAAGAACAAATGTATTTTCTCAATTATTTTTTTGGTAAGTGTAGGATCGTTTTTATTTTGTTACTTAATTTTAATAAATATTTTTTGTAAAAAATACAAATTTTGTTGTTTACCTTTCAAATTCAAGTTAACAATTGTTTTGATTTACTATAGTCTATTTTTATGTATGAGAGAGTAATAAAACAGCATTTCTAATGCAAAACTTAGTACGGTCATTTTAAATATTTTTACAGAATAATCTAAATATTTCCTAAAATTGTAATAAATGTACCTGAGCTATTACAAGTTTTGGGTCTTTTATTGGTCCTTTATAAACATAAGCTGTACAGAACAATAGAAAAAGGTTTGGACAGGCCAAAAGCCCTGTGTATTAAAGATTACATAGCCGTATCTTAAGATTATTTTCAATAAGTACCTATTTGCCAATTTTGTTTTATTTTAATTCCAAGAATTTCTTACAGTAATCGAATTATAAGTAGATAAATACCTTTCCAACAAATTTCACCGAAAATGCGATTATAGGTTTTCCATTTAGTAAGGAGGTCCAAGTTGTGTATTCTTGACAGTTTACTAAATGTCGTTTAGTTGCAACTTGCAAGGTGCAGTGTGAATTCTAGTGTGATCATGGAAAATTTGGAAGGGCCGCGTAAACGACAAAAAATCAGTCCTTTAAAAGTTAATGAAAAAACATTAATATTTAATTGTTTTAAATCATTTACAGACAAACATTTAGGTAAAAGTGTTGATGACACAGTGGAATTAGTTAGTAGTATGCTTGGTGTTGGGAAATCTACGATTTACAGAGTTGTTAAAGAAGAGAAATGTGGTGAGTTTCAAACAGCACGTAAAGGAAAACCAAAATTTCAATTAGAAAATATTTTGAAAAACTTCGAAGGAAAGTGCATGCGTTTTTCTTTAGAAAAGAATTTCCGACAGTGGACAAAGTTCTTGCCACGGTTCGAGATGATAAGGATTACCCTGAAATGAGTCGAAGCACACTATGGAAACTTTTAAAAGAAATAGGTTTTCTATGGAAAAAGGATTCCAGAAAGTCTATTTTAATGGAGAGAAGCGATATTGTAGTATGGAGAAGAAATTACCTAAGGACTATAAAAGAAATGAGAAACCAAAGAAGAAATATATTTTATTTAGATGAAACATGGATCAACGAGGGACATAAACCAAATACATTTTGGCAATATGAAACTGTTACAAGTCGAAGACAGGCTATTTTAAATAATTTATCTACTGGTTTAAATCCACCATCAGGAAAGGGGCGCAGACTAATAATAGTACACATCGGTAGTTCAAACGGTTTTGTTAAGGACGGGGTATCCCTGTGTATTAAAATTGTATGTGTAGACCAAAAGTTAAATCGACAGTTTTCCGAATATGTAGTGTTTAAAAATCTAATTTTTGGCCAAATTAAAAATAAAGGTCTAACTTAGGTCACCTTACTATTGAAAATTAATAAATTTATTATTTTCAATAAAAACCAATCATGTAAAATAACCCCCTTTTATTTCATCTCAAAGGTGCCGTCTAGAATTATTTTAACCTCGATGTCAAACAAATAATAAAAAAAAAAATGTAATACGACCTAAGTTCAACCTTTACTTGGAATTTGGTACACTCAGAATATTTAAATATTGTATATTTTTCAAAACGTGTAGATTTGAAATTTATAAGTCACTTTCTTTGAAAAAACATGTCAAAACGAATTTGGACCAAAAATGGCGTCTAATTTAACTCTAAATAAACCCCGAAAAATCAATAATTACTTCATGTAATGTAATAAAGATGGTGCTCCGATCGATAATATTTTGACTAGTATTTGATTATTTCCGTTTATATTAAGTGTGTTTACGCTGGATATACGAGATGATAATACTGCCTCTGATACTGTTTATATGATACAATTGGAAACGACCTTTTTTCATCGGCACTCTTTTTTCTGACCTTTTGACACGCGCATATTTGTTATATGATGTATGATTATCGGTTATTTATCAACTAAAAGTATAGGAAATTAGTACATTGTGAATGATAATATCATTTTAATGCTATTTTTGAAACTAGTTCAAAAGTTGCAATTAACGATACTCAATGTTTCATTTTACCGTCAGTTTTAGTTTGACATATCCGTCATTTTATGTTTACAAAGCTCAGTTTCTATTCGAAAGTAAGAGAAACAGTCAAAATAAAATGCGAAAAACACTTTTTATCAATTTCGTTTATGTCAACTGAAAGCGACAATTGCTGAAGACGTAACAAATAAATTAGGTCGAGAAATAAAAAAATCTATACTATAAGTAACATACCATATATTATACCTGTTAAAATAAATCAAAAATAAGAGAACATATCGTTGACGTATATACTTTTCCATCTGTGTTTAGTGATTACCAATTGCAAATTACGTATGAACATGCTTCTGCGCAAAAAAAAACCATTATTTCAAGTACTTGTATCATTAAAGTCAATTAAATTATAATTTTTATAAATTTGCTAATCTTTGCACTTTAAGTTTCATTATATGGGGTATCCAGACATTTTAATCCTCGTCCTCTTCTATTTAAAATTATCTCAGGTGCCATATATTTCGAGTAAAATTTTTCTAATTTTTCAACCATATTTTAAAAAAAAATCTGATGTGTCCAACACATGACTTTCCTATCTAGTTATTATAGGCTTTTTCCGGTTATTTTGTACAACCTATTGCAGCATCTCTATAAATGTTTAGAGGATAAACTAAATATATACATTGTCCACATACATCTACCTCGAAACATTCTTCTATAGATATTCATGGAAAACAAAAATACTAAAAAATTAAAATTTCCTACAATTTTTTCATTACGGTCCATTTTAGAAAAATCATGTATAAACAAAAATTATAGAGATCGATATCGCAAACAACTTTTATTTCAAAAACTTTCATAAAATTCAGAATTTTGCACATTTTGTCAAATTTCTCGAATACGGACCATTTCAGGAAATTTTTACATAAAACAAAAATTATAGATAATAATATTAGAAGTAACTTTTATTTGAACAATTTTTTTCTCCAAACATTAATAACAGATATATTCCATAAAATATAAAAGTGGCCGCCCATAAAGTACCCCCCCAGATGTTCCGACTATGTCTAAAATATAATCATTTCACGTCAGGCCGAAATAAACCTTAAGTTTAAAATTTAATGTTTTTTTCTTTATCCGTTTTTGAGTTTTCTTCAAAATTCGAAATTTACACATTTTCTCAAATATCTCGAATACGGTCCATTTTAGAGAAATTATGTATAGAATAAAAATTATAGAGAATTATATTAGAAGTAACTTTTATTTGAAGAATTTTCTTCTCCAAACGTAAATAACAGATATATTCCATAAAATATAAAAATGACCACCTATAAAGTACCCCCCCAGATGTTCCGACTCTGCCCAAAATCTAATCAGCTCATTGGACGCTGAAACAAAGCTTAAGTTTAAAATTTGGTGTTTTTTTGTGTATCGGTTCATGAGTTATGCGTTATACACACACACACACACACACACACACACACACACACACACACACACACACACCCACACCCACACCCACACCCACACCCACACCCACACCCACACCCACACCCACACCCCCACCCGCACCCGCACCCGCACCCGCACCCGCACCCGCACCCGCACCCGCACCCGCACCCGCACCCGCACCCGCACCCGCACCCGCACCCGCACCCGCACCCGCACCCGCACCCGCACCCGCACCCGCACCCGCACCCGCACCCGCACCCGCACCCGCACCCGCACCCGCACCCGCACCCGCACCCGCACCCGCACCCGCACCCGCACCCGCACCCGCACCCGCACCCGCACCCGCACCCGCACCCGCACCCGCACCCGCACCCGCACCCGCACCCGCACCCGCACCCGCACCCGCACCCGCACCCGCACCCGCACCCGCACCCGCACCCGCACCCGCACCCGCACCCGCACCCGCACCCGCACCCGCACCCGCACCCGCACCCGCACACACACACGCACGCACGCACACACACACACACACACACACACACACACACACACACACACACACACACACACACACACACACACACACACACACACACACACACACACACACACACACACACACACACACACACACACACACACACACACACACACACACACACACACACACACACACACACACACACACACACACACACACACACACACACACACACACACACACACACACACACACACACACACACACACACACACACACACACACACACACACACACACACACACACACACACACACACACACACACACACACACACACACACACACACACACACACACACACACACACACACACACACACACACACACACACACACACACACACACACACACACACACACACACACACACACACACACACACACACACACACACACACACACACACACACACACACACACACACACACACACACACACACACACACACACACACACACACACACACACACACACACACACACACACACACACACACACACACACACACACACACACACACACACACACACACACACACACACACACACACACACACACACACACACACACACACACACACACACACACACACACACACACACACACACACAGACATCATCGCGAAAATAGTCAAAACGGATTCAGGGGACCTCAAAACGTAAAAATCAGTCGAAAACTCGAGGTCGAAAAAAATCATGATTCCTATACTTTCCTTATATCTGTATACAAATAGGAAAGTAAAAATGGGTTGAAAATGAATTTTTTCAACAAATAGTGGATTTTCATCTCCAGTATATACTACAAAGTAGCACAATTTTCTTTGAGCTATACCTAGCTGTCCTTGAATCTAAAAGTATATAAAATCATTATTAGAAAATCAAACATAAAAAGAATATTAATATTGTAGTATCATTTCTAGCACATTTCTTAAAAATCATGAATTATTTTAACATATTGAAATTTTTCTCCTGGTAAAAGTAGTTATGGTTTTCTTTTAAATGAATGTCACCATCTTCTATTTTTAAGCATGGAAATGGGTTTGAATATTAGGTAATGTGCGCCAATAATGTCAAATTATGACAATTCGCAGAAAACGTCAACTTTTTATTTAGATTTTAATGTGCAAAAGCCTACCTACTTTGGATATTGATCGTAAAAAAAATATATTCAGAATAATGGAACATTATTATTAAATAACAAGCTTTTTTATTGTCAAATTTAATACGTAATATTATTTTTTAATTGCAAATATTTGAATGTTAAAATTATAGCGTTTAATTTTTTTATTCAATGACGAACTCGAGAGTGATAGAAAAAAAATACTACCTACCTTTAATGCAGGAAGTCGATGTCAATTTATCCAAAAATAAAACTGATTAAAATGTACAATGAAACTCACTAGGACACTTGGCACAAATAAATCAATTTTCTTTTAAAGAAAATAACACTTATTAAAAACAAACAGCACAATAAAATACTTCAGAAACGTGTGATGTAATTTTGAAAACTAAATACCCGTAAGCTTGTTTGTAAATTTATAGACTCTTAACTCCTTCCCCCAGCCTTCATTAAGTATATTAAAAGTCGTGACGTCATATTGGCACAGATATACGGTAATGTGTTATTCACAATCAGGGAAATGTTTCTAGGAAATAATTACCTAAGATAAGATAAATGAATGTTAAATACCTACTCATAATATCTATTGTAGGGTTTTTGTACTTTAATAGGATAAATATTTATGCGGGCCTGGAAATTCCAGGAAATGACCGTCAAAATTACCCAAAAACATTAGGTTAGTACCAACATCAGATAACAGATAACTTCGGTATTTAACCAATTAATCACAATTAATATTCCTGAACATTCAAATGACAAAAACTTCCATCTTTAACCAATGAGAATATAGTTTTCATTCGATACTTCAAAATCACAATTTATTAATTAGGTAGAATAGTTTTAAAATATATTGCGAATTGCGACACGTCAAGCGTCCCACTCCGACTCAATGTGACGCAATTATTGTGGCAATATATTTTGAAACGACTCTATATTCGTGACTTGAAATTATAAACATCCCTCGTATAACTACTCGTATATAAACCAAATTATTTGTTTTAGGAAATATTTATATTTAATGTGAGGCAAGATATCGTTTTTGTTGTTGCCATCTGCATAATACCTACCTACATTCTTTACTTTGGTCCAGGAAACAAAGTCGATTTTCGTTAAAAATAAAATGTAATAGGTAGGTAATACTTTATGAATAAAAGTGTTGAAATAAAGTATGCTCATACTCCAAAATGAGTCCTAGAGTTAACAATTTTATAATATTATAAATGGCATATGAATCGATTGGACCGTTTTCACAATCGCGAAATATTTTTTTTTATTTGGTAAAATCCCGGCAATTATTGAAAAATAGATTTTATGTTCAGGACTATTATTATAATCCTTCGAACTCAGTCTACTAAAAACCGGTTTATAATACAATATAATACAATATCCCCTAATAGCTAGTCGGTCGATATTTATAGTTACTTAAAGATTTCTGTAATAGTTTGCACTAATTCAATCTCTAGTCGGTAGGTAACAGCACCTCCTTGATTGAATCTAAATTGACATAATTTTGTTCAGAAATTCCTAGGAGACGCTGTCCTTAAAGGTGGTTTATTGACTTTTGAATCTACTCGTACCGGTGACTACCTTGAGGACATGAATGCTGATGTCTTTAAAGAGTGGTTCGAACAAATTATAGACCTTCTGCCTCAGAACTGTATAATAGTAATCGATAATGCAAGTTATCACTCGAGATTTATAGAAAAAATGCCCACAACCAAGTGGTTAAAAAAAGATTTACAGAATTGGCTAAATTCAAAGAATATTAAGTTTCATCCCGGTTCTGTGAGAAAAGAACTGTATCATTTGTGTTCCCTTCATAAAGAGAAATTAAAAAAATATGAAATTGATGAAATTGCAAAAAATCGTGGGATGACGGTGGTTAGATCACCACCATATCATTGCGAAGTAAACCCGATTGAACTGATATGGGCACAGATAAAGGGAGAAGTTTCAAGAAAAAATAATTCTTTTAAAATGAGTGATGTTAAACAGTTGTTTTTGGAGGCTGTAAATAATGTGAAGCCTGAAAACTGGGAAAAGGCAGTAAATCATACGATTAAAGAAGAAGAGAAAATGTGGAAGTTGGACAATATTACTGATGAAATGATCGAGCCACTCATTGTAAATATTGGTTGCGACAGTTCATCTTCTGATTACGATTCTGATTTGGATTTGTAGGTAAGAAGTAGTTTTTATATTAAAATTATTATTTATGAACGTAACGTTTAAAAGTCAAAGTTTAAACCCTTATACCTACATAACCCGTTTGACACAATGTTCTTAACATACCTTGTGGAAAAATAAAACATTTTAGAAAAAATTGCACTTTTTTACTTTAAGCTGTTTAGAAGTTATAAGCAGGTTAATTAGGTGAAAATATAAATGTATACTCGAGGAATAACTGTCTACTAAAAGATTACGAACGCTTTATTATTTTAATACTCTCTCATACATAAAAATAGACTATAGAAGGTCATCACAACTTTTATAAATGTTTCAGCTGGTTTCCCGGATACCTTTCAAAAGGGCTAAAACGCAACTTAACAGAAGATGACATGTACCAAACTAAGAATTCCCAAAAATCCGATTATCTCGGCACCAAATTACAAGAAGCGTGGGACAAGGAGTTAAAAAAATCCAATCCATCTCTATTGAGAGCGATATTTCTATTATTCAAATGTGAAATTCTATTTTACGGGTTGTACAACTTATTTACTGATTTCATAAAGTAAGTATTTTTAACTAAGAAATGTTAAAGTATGATGCGCCTTATTTAGACATTTTTCAAATATTTTCCTCTGTTCCTTGTTTTTCATTAATTTTTCTTGTGTTACTTCTTTTTCTTTTCCCTTCCTTTTATTTCGGTTCCTCGTCGTTATCCCGTTTTTTCTTTACCGTACTTCTTTTCCACCTTTCATCCTTCGTAACTCCTTTATTTTCCCTTTTTTCATGTACCTTTTATTTTCTACTTCATAAGTTTTTCAATTATTTCTAAACTGACCTTCTCATTTTTCTATCTCTTTTCTACTGCATCTCTTTTCAATCTTTCATTCCTTCAATTTTTTTTGTCGTTTTTAATTTTTCTGCTTATTTCTTTTTTTTTTAAAGGTTTTATGTCTATTAGTTATTTTTTATTTCTAAATATCTCTTTTATCTTTACCATAATTTATTGAATAGCAAACGCAAACAGCTATTGATATTATTATTTTTTAGGATAGCCCAACCAATGCTCATCTCAAGGCTGGTTTCGTTTTTCGAAAAGAAACCTGAAGAAGTAAACCAAACTGACGTATATGTAAGCGCATTTCTCATAGTTTTAGCATCTCTGACTCAAGTTATCTGCCTCCATAACTATCAGCTGAGAGTAATGACTTTAGGAATGAAAATAAGAGTAGCTGCATGTTCTTTGATCTACAGGAAAGCTTTAACATTAAGTAATAAAGTTTTTTTATTATTATTGACCCAATTTATCTTATTTATAATGATCTTTCTAGGCAAAAGTTCTTTAGCAGAGACAACAATTGGCCAAATGGTGAACTTGTTGTCTAATGACGTCAGTAGATTCGATTTTACCGCACAACTTATGCACAGCATATGGCTGGCGCCTACAGAAACTGTTATTGTTATGTTCATGTTGTATTTTTATGTTGGTCCCTCTGGATTAGTAGGGTGTATGTTTATGTTGAGCTTTATTCCATTTCAAAGTAAGTTAATTGCACTTTTTAAGTTTTGTATTTGATTTGAAAAACCCAGTATATTGATGAATAATTTATTAACAAATTGTCCTTGTTTTTGCATATTTGATTTAGCCCATGCAAGTAATTGGTGACATCAACCAAAAATGCAGAATCAGATAACTATGCACCATCGTCTGATAAAGCTTTTAAAATATATAAACATTTTTCCAATCAGAATTTTTTTTCTAGTGTATATGGCCAAATTGACCTCGCAATACAGACTAAAAACAGCAATAAGAACGGATGAACGTGTAAGATTGATGAACGAAATAATATCAGGGATAAAAGTTATCAAAATGTACACTTGGGAAAAACCGTTTGCCAAATTAGTCGAATTCGTAAGAACGTAAATAAAGAAAATGTCTCCAATCTATCTTAAATTACTAAAAATATTTTTTTTCAGAAAGGAAATATATGAAATCTATCACACATCGACGATCAGAGCTATAATGATGTCCTTCAACCTGACCATGAACAGAAACGCAACATTTTTGTGCATATTGACATTCGTATTAACTGGAAACAGATTAACAGCTTCGTACGCTTACACAGTAACATCCTTTTACGGTTTCTTGAGAATAGCAGTTACCCAACAATTCCCGCAAGCCATGACACAACTAGCAGAAACCAAAGTTTCATTATCAAGGATTCAAAAGTTTTTAATGAACGAAGAATTAAAGAGAAACATAAACGTCGTACCGAACATAATGAATGGAGTTGTAGAACATAAAAAAGCAGTGGGGATTAAGCTAAAAAACGCAGCTGTTAAATGGACGAAGTTTCTACAAGAAAATACATTGGAGGGTATCAATTTTGAAGCTAAGTCTAGTCAGTTGGTAGCTGTTGTTGGTCTGGTGGGTGCTGGAAAATCTACTCTTTTACACGTAATTTTAAAGGAGTTGGTACCTGTTGAAGGTTTTGTTGATGTAAGTGGGTCGGTATCTTACGCCTCGCAAGAACCATGGATATTTGGTGGCAGTGTAAGACAAAACATACTTTTCGGCAATGATTACAATGAAGACAGATATGATGAGGTCATCAAAGTATGCGCATTAGAAAGAGATTTAACTCTACTCCCGCATGGCGATCGTACGTTAGTTGGAGAAAGAGGCATTACTCTAAGTGGAGGACAAAGAGCTAGAGTCAATTTAGCTAGAGCAATTTATAGACAGTCCGATATCTACCTTCTAGACGATCCATTATCTGCAGTCGATACTCACGTTGGCAAGCAGCTTTTTAAAGAATGCATTACTGGGTATTTGAAGAACAAATGTGTTATTCTAGTTACACACCAGCTTCAATACTTACGCTCAGTTAACTGTATCTATTTACTGAATGCCGGCAAAGTTAAAGCATTCGGTACCTACCAAGCTCTAAAGAAGTTAGACAGTTCGTTCACAAAGCTGTTATGTTCATCCGAAGACGAAGATAAAAAGCAGGATACTAGGATATCTACAAGGTCCGAATCTGTGGCATCCGATATGGAATCGTTTGCTAAAGAAGAGGTCGTGGAGCTGAAGAAGGAAGAAAGAGCTACCAGTAAAATCTCAGGGAGAGTGTATAAGAATTATTTCAAAGCTGGTGGAAACATTCTGAAGACGATCGCATTGCTTTGTACTTTCATAGCTACTCAAGTTTTTGTATGCTTGTCTGATTTTTTTCTTACCATTTGGTATGTAATGACTGTTGTTTGACTTTCATTTACCATATCTACAAGGTTTTAAATATTTTTAGGGTTAACGTAGAGCAATGGAGAGTAGAACATAACGTCTCAAATCCTTTGGTAAATCAATCATCAAACGATTCAGTGTTGACAATTTCAGATGACAACAATCAGATATTTTGGAGTAAACTGTTAACGGACAATAACGCATTGATAATTACTAGTATTTTAATGATTTGCATGGCATTTTTGGGAATTACTAGATTGCTTTGGTTCTTTAGATATTGTCTAACAGCTTCTACTAAAATGCATAACCAGATGTTAAGTAAAATTTTACATTCACCAATGCTGTTTTTCAATACCAATCCGATTGGGAGAATTTTGAACAGGTTTTCTAAAGATGTAGGATCTCTGGATGAATCCTTGCCAAAAAGTTTGATCGACACTATTGGAGTAAGTAGGTATTTTAAATGAATTTTTTATTTTTCGTTCAAGTCTATTGACAAAGTGAAATGTTAAAACATTTATTTGTTTTAGATCGGACTTATTATAACTGGAAATATTTGTGTTATAACCATTGTAAATCCTTGGATTTTGCTACCAACTGGAGTGATTTTAATTATATTTTATTACATTAGAAGAGCATTTCTAGCTTCCAGCAGGCAAATTAAAAGAGTTGAAGCAGTGGGTGAGTACTATATCGTACTAAATTTATTTCTATTTTATATGTTTATTGGTCCAGGCAACGAAATGGTATAGAGGGAAATGTTTGGAACACAATTTTTGACTTCTTAACTTTGTTTGACCAGCGTTCCTTCAATAAATGTTCAAAAATACCGCCACTGACTTCTAAACATTTTCTGCTTCGTCTACGAAGAGCGTTTCGTCTAATTAGTTCATCCCGTGTGTCCACTTTTAATTTATAGACTTCATTTTTCATCCAGCCTCATAAACAAAAATCTAATGGTGTGAGGTCTGGCCAATTAATAGGACCTCCACGACCAATCCAACATCCTGGAAAACGTTCGTCCAAATGTTGCTTGACCTGACGAGCGACATGTGCAGGAGCTCCATCGTGCTGATAGTACATCTGCATTCTAATATTTACAGGAATCTTCCTCTAGCAGGCCTTGTAATTCATTTTGTAAAAAATTAAGGTAGTTGTCTCCTGTGAGACGATTTTCCAAAATGAAAGGGCCAATTAAATAACTGTCAACCATACCACACCACACGTTTACAGAAAACCGATGTTGAAAATTGTTTTCGACTGTTGCGTGGGGATTTTCGTCTGACCATATATGATAGTTACGAGTATTATTAATGCCATCACGGGTAAATGTAACTTCATCCGTAAAGAGTACACTTGATACAACACGATGATTATTATTTATCCACCTACAAAACTCCATACGGTTAGCGTAATCCTGTGGTTGTAGGTGCTGTACTCTCTGTACGTGATAAGGATATAAGCCTTGCTCGTGGAGTGTGTTTATCACTCTTTTTTGTTAACTTGGGTGAAATCACACTACCCGCTATATATAACAACGGTAAAAAATATAAACGGTCTCGGTATCAACAGAAAAGTCCTATAACGGTAAGATTAGCTATGACTTATACTATATTCCTGAGAATATAAAAATAATAATTTCCTTTGAAAAAAAATAATAAAACGGTGGGCAGTGACACCCTCTGCACAAATTTTTTCCTACTAAAGGAAACAACAGGTTTTAGTAGTAAGAGAAAAAAAATCCTACAAAAGTAAAATTAAATATGATTTGAACTATAATTATTAGAAAATAAAAAATAATAATTTTCTCTCTCGGTGATTAATATCAGAAATTTATAAACGGCGGTGATCTGTATCACTCTGCACTCATGAAAGGAAAATAACTGATGCATTTGTAAGAATATCAGTTAATATCCTCCCCGCACTTATTACTTTACACCAGGCACAAAAGCCCCAAATAACAAATGGATTTAAGACGGAATCGTTCGACCAATACTTTAGGGAACAGTGACGGTTTTTTATTTATTCGATTTAAAGTCTCTCTTATGTAGACATCTGGTAGTCCATAGCTTCTACAAGAGAGAAACCCTTTCCCCGAGCTGTTATAAAGACTGAAACAGCTCTGATTATCGACGGGGGGAACAAATGAATACCGCTATCACCCCCTGGTTAACGCTAAACTTGATGAAGGGTGCGAGTGCCCCCGGATTTAAGTCCAATTTGCTTTATTACCCTAACAGGTACTAAGGAAATTAAAAGTACACGTCGAATTCCTTAAGTAGACAATGGAAACAGAAATGAACGCTGCAGGGAGAATTATTAGACGAAATTTTAAATAAAGTGCCTACCTTGATTAATTCCTCACAATGGTTTACGGTGCACGAAATCTAAATTGCGAAAAATCGGTTCCGACGGCAAAACTATTATCAAGCACAATATCACATAAATCGGTCAACAGTCAATGAAAATCGGCATGGAAGAGACCGCTCCCATCGAAAACATCTGCTTTTATCAAAAGTCGGACTTTTGCCAGAGTGGGGATGCTAGTTCCTACTCCTTTGTTATTAGTTGTTTTGCAAAAAAAACGTTGGTTGATCGGCATACTGATAAACCTACTAGAATTGAGATTTTAAAACATGATTTAATTTATTGTGATAATGAAAAGAACGGTAATTATATGGAAATATTAGTTATAGGGGGTCTCGCAAATGTTCATAGACGGAAATTAGTTTTAGAAATTAATTTAGGGAATAAATTAACGGAAATTTTAGTGACTTCGTCACACTATAACCGTTTTTCAACAGGAGTCCGATGGAGCAGATATTGGAGATAAAGAAGATAAAACGAAAACAAAGATGAAAGTTCTTCTCACCCAAAGGGAGCAAGAAATTGATTCAATGTTACATACTGTTGTAATGTGTTATGTTAATTTACTTTTCTATGTTAATAAACGTTGTTTTCAGTTAATGGTTGTGATTTATAAAACCATCCCACTGTCTTAAAGACATCATACATGATTATAGCAACACATTTTCCCATTAAAATGGTCTAGAAGCTTCTTAATAATTAAGCGTGAGAACCTGGTCAGACGGCCCAAAACTATAATATATATTGTAAAATGAATATTTGTGCTATTTGACTGGGAATGGTAAGAAATTGAAAAATTCATTAGTCAACAGTTGTTACAAAACTTCAGATTTTGAAATTTCTTTAACATTTGAAGGAAAATAGATAAAAAAAAGTTAAGTAATATATATTATTGAAGGTAATTTAATTCTCTACAACTCTATGGTCGGCATTTATTTTTTGGGTATATCGTTGAAGCGTTATCCGGCCAAAAAGAGCAAAATATAGTCAACAATGTTTTCTTCCACAATTACAAACTTTCAAGAGATAACATATCGAAAACTATATAAGATATCGAAAAAATTGACTAAATAAAACTTGTAGCTTTCATTCTATATTGAACAGTCATGTCGCTAGGAAGCATAGTCTTCGAGATATAAGTGAAAAACCGAAAGGTGGGACCTTTAAACCTCCTCTCTCCCCGGCTAAAAGGCCAAGGGCGGGGACTTTTGATATGTTTCCCTCGTATTCAGCTGTTATTAATTTCTATTTTATGTCTGTTTATGTTGTTTTTTTTTGTATTAGCGAGAAGTCCTATCTTCACCCATCTGGCAGCTTCTTTGCAAGGACTTACAACGATTAGAGCGTTTAGGGCTGAACAAATACTAACTAAAGAATTTGATAATTTTCAAGATAAACACTCTTCAATATACTACACGTTTTTGACGGCCACTAGAGGTTTTGGATTTTGGTTGGATCTTCATTGCATCGTATTCATAGGATTGGTCCTCATTAGCATCTTATTCATACAGTCAGGTAAATATATAATACTTAATTCGCCCAATAAACTTCCAAGATTTCAAAACGTATTCTTAAACATTTTTAGAATCTTTCGGCGGAAATGTAGGTCTATCCTTAACCCAAGCCATTAACCTCTCAGGATTATTCCAATGGGGTATGAGGCAATGGAGCGAGCTTGAAATTCAAATGACTTCGGTCGAAAGAGTGCAAGAATACGCGGATCTGCCTATAGAGAAAGACAGCAGCAAAAACGACAATTTTCCAAATTGGCCCAATTTAGGAGCGATTAAATTCAACAAAATGTATCTTAAATACTCTCAGGATGATCCTTACGTTCTTCAAAATTTGAATTTTGAAATAAAATCAAAGGAGAAAATCGGGATAGTCGGTAGAACCGGAGCTGGGAAGAGTTCTTTGATCCAGGCGTTGTTTAGATTGACTGATATCGATGGAAGTATAGTTATCGATAATGTGGATACTAAGAATGTTAAGTTGGAGATTCTGAGATCGAATATATCGATTATCCCGCAAGAGCCGGTGCTGTTTTCTGGTACTCTGAGGAAAAATTTGGATCCGTTTGATGAACATAAAGATGAAGTAAGTATTTATTATTATACGTTATGGTAGGAAGCCTAAAATTATACGGTTCTTAAACAAATTATGCGCATGTATATGTTTCATAACATACAAATGTTCTTAGAACATAAAAAATCTAAAGGTTCATATGCTACGTTTGAAAAGTACCTCCAGGAGTGAAGTAGAACTAGTAGATTTTTTAGTCACGTGATCATCGAGCAAAACGAGCTTATATGGAATAAAAGAACATCTATGGATTTGTTTACGTTTCTCATTTCCGGTTTCCATTAAAATAACAAACTTAAACCATTTTTTTAAATCAAATTTGATCTCTCGTCTCGTGGTTTTTGTTGCAAGTTGCAAAGTAAAGTTAATTTTTAGCTGTGGTATTTTCGCTTTTTTAATAAACAAGCATATGAAAAAGAATAAACTGCAACACAAGAGACAACGAAAGACGTCTTTACATCTCAGAGAAGTACATTTACTTGGTCAGTTGTCACAGAAATTACATTTACTCAGAAAGCTCTAAAATTTTATTCGGAGTAAATAGATCTTACTCGACTTACCAGCTCTGCATTAAAATACCACGGAGCAGATCCCATCGAGTAGCCATAGATGTATCAAAAGAACGGCTTCGAGTAAAAAGAGCAAAACGAGGTAGTTTTCAAACGCAGCAATACTATAACAAACTTATATCTGGCAATAACTGGATCTCAATCTATTATTTCAGAAAAATATAGCTCAGAAAAAAACTAAAAGTAAACAAACTTATAACTTCTTATAGAAAAGTCCACGCGAAATTAAATATTTGAATAAATTAATTTGTTTTATTTATTAACATTTTATTGTAGGTTTTGTGGGACGCTTTGGATGAAGTAGAGCTAAAACACACAGTAGACGAATTACCAGCAGGACTAAGCAGTAAAATGGCGGAAGGCGGTTCAAATTTCAGCGTTGGACAAAGACAGCTAGTGTGTTTAGCCAGAGCTATAATTAGAAGAAACCGAATTTTAGTCCTGGATGAAGCTACGGCTAACGTAGATCCAATGACAGACGCTATCATCCAAAACACCATCAGAGATAAGTTTGCTAACTGTACAGTACTAACTATAGCACACAGATTGCATACCGTGATGGATTCCGATAAAGTTTTGGTAATGGATGCCGGAGAAGCAGTGGAATTTGATCATCCGTATAGTCTGTTAGAGAAGAAAGGCGTTTTTCATAGTTTGGTCAAGAAGACCGGAAGTAATATGGCGGCTAACTTGCATACTATAGCTCTGGAAAGTTTCAATAAAATATTGCAATAGGCCAACAAAAAATTGTGATTTATTTACTAATGTATTATTATTATTTATTATTTTAGTATATTTTTTATGAAATTTATGTTTTAATTTATTCCTTCGAAAATAAAGATTTTTGCATTGGTAAAGATTCTTTTGTAATTATAATGTTCATTAGATTCTTCTTTTTTTGCCTAAAATATGGTTTTAGATAGTTTTAGACCTAACTGTGGGTCACAACAAAAAAATATCCAACGAATTGTGATTTAGCACAATTAAAACCTATTAATAAAAAGTCTGGATTACTCTGTATACAGTTGGTTGTGTGAGCGAATATATTATTGACAGTCGCAGAGATAAAAGAGTTGAACAGTTTATCTCACAGACCCTAATGTCAAAGTATATTAACCGTTGAGTAGCGACAGCTGGGGAACCGAATTCTAGTGCGCCGACGCGAAATAGAAAGGCATGAAACATGAAAGTTTACTGAAACCGGCAACATCGCTTTCATACTATTGCAATGGTGGCGCTAACTAATAGTATGCTTGGAACTACAACGTGTTGACAGTGGCGTGCATTTAAAAAATTCATCTTGATTTATTAATTTATCTATGGTTTACAACGTTGCCAGCCGGTCCTAAGAGATCTGTCTTTCTCGCTTCCACTCACTAACAATTTTAAAACAATAACAGTCCGCAATTGTATGGGATTTATGAATGAAACATTCTGTCTTTATATTGTAATATTTTTGGTAAAGAATGTGTTTTTTAAATTAAATAATATATACGAACAATCAATGTAAATAGAACAGAATTTGGCTTACTATATATACATTTTTTAATCATTAAAATCAAAACTTATTCAGAAAATTGTTTCGTCAACATTGTGACAGTACTAGGACCGATATCTGCACCTCTTTCTGGATCATTTGGCTTTTTGTGAGCCATTTTGCGTAAAAATTACAAAATCTGTAAAACTAATATATTTCGGAAAGTCCGGCAAAAGCGCGATGCACACTTGCTGTATTTTAAAACGTGGCAACGTTGGAATTCTACGATTGACAGAATCTCAATTCTGTAATTAACGTTCTGTGGCGAACTTTTTGAGGTTATGCCGAAAAATTTATAATAAAATATAATTTACTAATTATTCACTAGTTATCTAAGTATCTGTTCATAAGTCCTTTAGGACTTGCACTAAAAAATTATAAAACTACTGCGGTAAATGAAATCTAACAGATTGACTGTTTTTCAAAACTATAAAAATTGAATGATTCTAAGAATAATAAAATGGATAGAACTCACCAAATGTAGATTCAATCGCCTTATTAACAGATATTTGCACTAAATAGTTTTATTTTCACTAAATGTACGTAAAAGTTCAGTTTTAGTCCATGAACTTGCGAAAGTCTCGAATTTCGATAAGTTCGGCCTAACGTTGGAAAGCCAGTTTTGTAACGAAGAACGTAGAATATGAAAACACTGCACATATTAAGATTAAGTGAATTAAACTTTAATGTGTGAAATAATATGAACAGAAATATGAAAATGTAATGTCGATTAGTATCGACCGCGGATTTCTGTCACGACTCTCACTCGTTAGGCCGCTAGGCGGCAGCACTACACAGGCATGGATGCTGATAGAAGAAAACAGGGTCGGTACTAGGAGTCGTGTTACAGTTTTTAATTGAAAATTATTTAAATTTTGGAGTAACTTGGAATGTGATAGTTAAATTTTTAACATCTTGATATATTGATGTAGATTCATATTCTGCATACGGGCACACAAAATCTTTCAGTATTTTCTGTTCAGCAATTATTATGAGAACTTACCTTTAAATTTTGAGCATATACCTTTGAGAAAGTCTCAAATCAATAGGATAAATGTTATATAGGCTGTCAATTGACACCTCTAATTTCTAGATTTTGATTTTAATAACTTTCAAAATAAGATAAATAAAAGCACATGAAAGACCGAAGAACAAAGCAATTAACATGAAAACTATCATCATGACATTGTATGTATTGTAATGTTTTTGTGGTTGGGACAAAGACATACAACATAATGTCTTTGGGTTGGGATGATTTTAAAAATTAATTTCTCCACCCTAATGTTATTTAGAAGGTGAAATACAAATTTAATTAATGTATTCATTAAAGAATTATTGTTGGGCACTTTCAATATTTAATGATTGTATTGGACATTTTATTTAAATATATACATACATTCATTTTTTTACTTACCTGTGAGCAGAGATTCTTCTTCCAACAGATGTCTAAAGAATCTATCAGTGTTGTTATTGTTACTAAATAAAATATAATTTAACAATATGAAACAAAATTGTTTTTTATTTACAAAAATAATTATATTAATGTTAATTTATTCAGTTTTATGATATAAAATTTAATATGAGCGATCATTAGGCATTTACATTTTTTTTAATTTGCATTTGGGTTGCCTACTATCGGTGAATTTTAAAATTAATTAAATTATACGGTTGACAGCAATCGCAACGCAACAGCACCAAAAAAGATAACAAAACATATGGAAGGGAAAACTAAACAAAAAGGTACAGGGCGTTTAGAATAAAATACTATAAACAGGGGTATTAGATCTTAACTAATTAATAAGAAAAGTTAAGTATAATTTTCCAGTAAACGTCTCAGTTTTCATTCTACAGGGTGATAAGAATTTCATAAATACATTATTTTTTAGTTATCTTCGCTTATTGAATATTCTACAGAGATAAATCAAGAGTCCGTTTTTTTGTGAAAAAGTGCATAAAAAATATTTATTAATCTTAACTTATGACATATAGGGTGTTCGAAAAGTTTATGTAAAAATTGTTTTCTCAGCTCTTGATTTTACGCCAATAGGTTATCGTAATTTATCGAAATAGAGTGAGTTAACTTATAATGACGATTAATAATATATACGTACAGGGTGAGGCACCGAAAACGAAACAGATCGCATATCTTGAAGACACATTTTTTTTTTTTTGAGAAAATGCAAAAAGGTCGATTTTTATTTCAAAGGGGACATCTTTCGATCATATCCTCAGTTATCCTACATCCCTCCCCACCCCTCTGTCACTATTACCAATGAAATTGAAATAGGGAAAGTACTAATTGTGACACATCATTGAAAAGGTAATTTTATAAGGAATTTGACCGTGTGACATGTGACAGTTCAAATAAGCGTATTGTCATGTAAAAGCCAAATTTAAAAATGTATTGCATAATTACCTTTGGAATAAAATTGAACTTACTACGCCTATGTTTTCGTAAAATAAATAAAGGATTTTATTTCCATAACTACCAGGTCTGTTTTTTAGTTTAGCGTCACTGATACTTCAAGTCTATTAGCGTGTAAAACATAAAAATGGTTTATCCTATTCAGGAGAGAGTAGAAATTGTTGAATGTTATTTAAAAAATAACGAATGTGCTAATGTACAATTTTCAATGAGCGACACCCAAACAAACAGGTTAAACGTAAGTACGTTTTGGAACTTATTTCAAAATTTCGACAAACAGGATCTGTTCAAAATAAAAAACGGCAGATTCAAAATCCAGGAAGAAACGAAACCATAGAGGTAGCCGTTTTAGGACAAGTTGTTGCAGATCCAACTCTTAGTACAAGAAAGCTTGCAGAATTATCTGGAGTAAGTGACCGTACCGTCAGGAGAATTTTGAAAGCCAACAAATTCCATCCCTATAAAATTCATTTAGTTCAGGAACTTAACGAAAACGATTTTGATCGCCGCTTGCAATTTTGTGAAATCATGAGCGAGCATGCTATACAAGATCCACACTTTCTTTATAACATTTGTTTTTCAGAAGAATGCAGTTTTTATGTTAACGGGACTGTCAATCGACATAATTGTCGATACTGGGGCCCTATTTTCGAATGTCTATTTCTAAATGTCACACGCAACATTGATGAAATGTCGAATAAGAACGAAAAAACGTATTCTGGAATGGCAAATTCGACATTTTTTGTTAGACATAAAGTCGAGTGGTATTCAACCAGTCGACATTGTAATGTCGCATGCCTTTTTAAATATAATGACAGGTACAGTTTATATTAATTTCTAAGAAAAATTAAAATAAGTATTGTACAAATTGTTTTTAAAAATATATGAAATGATTATTTACAATTACACCTAATTTATCAATTATTGGTCCTGTCCAGTGTCGAATTGGGCCGTCGGTCTACCGGCAAAAGAACGGTAGGCCTTCGTTCAAGCTGTGGGCCCTCTTCCAGGCAGTGGGCCCTCGTTCGGGCAGTGGGTCCTCGTTCGGGCAGTGAGTCCTCGTTTAGGCACTGGCCTCAATCAGTGGGCCTCATACAGTAGGCCTAAATCAGTGGGCCTCAGTCTGTGGGCCCTTGAGAATAAGAAATGCGAAATAACCCTTGCAAAAAGCATCAGTGCGCAAAGAGCGCCTTTTTTGCTCTTCAAGGAATCGGCCCATGAAAAAAAATTGATAGGTGGGCCTTCTCCGTTCTAACCGGTAGGTACTGGAAGTCCCGAACCGACACTGCTCCTGTTTGTCCAAGAGATTTAATACCTGTCATTAAGAAATTTATATAGCTCTATTTTTACAAATTGCAGGTAAAAAGATTATATCACAAACATTTTATGTAATGTTTATATATTATAATAATATATTTCTTCTTACTATCTAATCCCTTACCAAATTGTACTTCCAATTTTCTATTTAATTTCTTATGAAATTTCAGTTAAAAAGATTATATTATATATTCTTTACTTTCTATTAGTATTTATCAAAAAAAAAACAGATATTTGGGATATATTTGCAGTATTATTTTGAATTACTAAGAGATCCTTCAAGTAATTGTGTGCTGTAATATACTCGTCTTGTATGTTTCTATCCAATGTTGCCAGATGTTACCATTCGCCATTAGTAGTAGACATTATGATGAATGCGACATTTTTAATAGACAGGTAAACTGGAACATGATTAATATAAACAACAACGTAGATGTCATGACAGAAACATTTATTTCTACTTTAAATACATATATTGAAAAAAATTCTACAACTGTAAAGATAGCTATAAGTAAAAAAATTAAAAAACCATGGATAACCAAAGATCTACTTAAATTAATAACAGAAAAAAATAATATCTATTTGGAATTACAAAAAAACCAAAATTATTATCTAGAACAAAGCTATAAAAATCTTAAAAATAGATTAACTAAGTCAATTCAAAAGGCAAAAAAAGAATACGCTAAACGTTTAATAGACAAAAACAAAAACTCCTCACAAGGTATGTGGAATTGTGTAAATCAGATAAGCGGAAAGTCAAGCCCTAAAACAAAAATAACATCACTTAAAAAACATAATGAAATAATTACAGATAAAAACGCCATAGCAAATGAATTTAACAATTTTTTTAGCGACTTAGGGGAACAATATGCGAGAAACATAAAAACACCGGAAAATTTCACGCAACCAGTGGGGCAATACCGTGAATGTTGATTCAGGCTTCGGAGTAGGCTGATGAAAAAATAAAGGTTAAAAGAAAATATGATATAATGAAATTAATAACAAAATTCTCAACATAAGAACATTTCTAAGAACTTTGACAAGCTTCTTTGTATTTATTTAAATAAATATCGTTTTGCTTTATCTTTTTTTTTGGGTTGCCTTCTATACATTCATCACATGTATATTCCTTAGATGATTCCCAACCTGTACACTCGGAGTGAGCCCATCTTCCACATTTTACGCAACGGTACCAGAGTTCTCTATTCTTTCCGAATTCTCCGCATTCGTTTATCATAGAAGGCCTCTCGTACAATGTGTATTCATTCATATCTGAATTGATGTCTTCAGACAGATCCAATTCCACTGATCAATCAGAGTTATCCTCTGACATTCTTTCCTCCTTTTCAACACGCTTTCTTTTTATGTTAATCCTCTTCTGGTTTTCTTTTCCATGTCCATTTACTTTTTGCTTACATTTTTTGTTTTGAGTATCATTTTTCTGGTCTCGTTTTGCTTGTTTTTGAACAAGTATATGCTTCATTGGTGTAGAAGTCAAAATCTCTGACTTTTGCTTCTTTGCTGTCCTTCTTTTCGTGAATTTCTTATTTGTTCTCGTGGGAATAGAAGCAACATTTGATATTTTGGCAAACGAACATGATGGTAAAGGTTTAGGAATTGCTGCTGTTGAGGGTGTCGGTTCTGGAATAGCGGATATTGATGGTGTCGGTATCGCAATAGCTAAGGATTCTATTGGTGTCTGAGTAGAAATCATCTTGAAGGACCTTTCCCCTTCATCTGATTCTACATCCACAATAAATTCTCTAAATTCCTCAGCGGGTGCGAATTCTTCTGCTGTAAACTTAGAGGGGTTGTAAGGAAATATTCCGGCAGCTCGGAATCCTGAAATTCCTTTATCCGTAGTTGCTACTTTTATATATGCTTGATTAAACAAACGAGCCACATCGTACACTGTAATCTTCTCGTGTGCAGTTGAAATTGTATGAAAATCATAAACAGCAAAGGGAGATTTTTTAAGAGGTCCAAAGAATGTTAAATCCAGAGGTTGAAGGTGATTTGACGTAAGAGGGGGTATTGTAAGAAGTACGATATGGATATTTCTGCAGAACTCATAAATTTCCAACGAAATGTGGCTTCCATGATTGTCTAAAATAAGTAAAATCTGGTCTGTCGCATTAGATTTCACAAAGCGTTGGAAATGTTTTAACTATTTTAGAAATAACTCATTATTTGACCACCCATTGTCAAAGCACGAATAAATGGATCCAATTGGGCTATCCTTTTCTAGTTGTGGAGACACGTTTCCTTGGATAAATAAACATTGGAGCGACGTACAAACCAGCTGCACTAACAGCACATTAGATAGTGATAGTTTGTCCTCGTTCGGCTGAAATAGCAATTCCGACTTGCTTTTGTCCTTTTTTGGCGTATATTTTTCCGACTTTTTCTGGACAGTTGTTATTCCAGACTCGTCAGCATTGAAGATCCTGTCTTCTGTAAATTGATGCTTTTGAAACAAAGTTTCAAGATTTTTGAAAAAAAGAATAACAGCATCGGCGTTGAACGATGAAATACGATTAAGACTTGTTCCTTCTGGCTGACGAAGACTAATTTGAGGATTAATTTTAAGAAAAAGCTTCTGCCAGTCTTTGCCAGCTAAGTTTGTTTCTTTGTTGAATTTATGGATTAGATTATTAGCTTCTGCAAAGTCAAAAGCTATACGCCTTTAGTGCCGCGGAGTTACTTAATAAAACAAATTCGCTAACCTCATGCTCTTGTTTTTTCGTAAAAACTGGTGTGCGTCCCAAGCCATGCGTCTCATCAAGTTGAGCTGGAGCTTCACCGTCTGCGCCGGTACCTCTTTTTTTTAAATGATTACGAACTGTCGATTCTGGAATATCGAAATTTCTTACCGCCTCACGTATTTTTGAACCTGAGCGAACAGCAGCTATTGCATTATAAAGTTGTTCAAAAGACCAACTTTTTCGTTGAGTTTTTTTCTTTTGTAATTTCTTACCATCTGAAATAAAAAGTGGAAATATTTTACCAATGAAATCAACGCAGAGCAATACTTAGCAAATTTAGAGGTGGCGCAATACCGCTCATCTTACCATTGAAATCAATGTGGGGTAATATCGCGCATATGTGGGGTAATACCACGCGCGGTATTGCCCCATATCGACACTGGTCCTATTTTCTAATCTCACCTCGGTGTTTACTGAAGAAAATTAAAAACGGTAGCAGGTAAAAATCAGTAAAAGAACTAATAAAATATCTATATTAGCCGATTTTATATTTACCTAATATTTAAACTTACCTTGCTTATTTCCTGGTAGCTCTAAATTATAATAAAAGCAACGACACTCACGCTTTGATATACTGCTAAGTACTCGATGCTTCGATCGACTGCACAACATTTGTGGCATAGTTGCCACATGTACCAGGTAACGTACGAATAGTCAAATTTATTCTGGGTTGCTTAAACACCTGTGTTTCTGTGTGCGCGGTATTACCCCGCTGCGCGGTATTAGCCCACTTTCCCCTATTATTACCGAATGTCGTCAAATAACTCCAGAAATTCTCCAAAACGTCAGACAAAGATTTGAGCATTTACTTTGAAGTAATTTAGTTTTTAATTATGGGAGTTGTCCTAAATTTTTCAATTTAATTTTTATGTTCACTTTTCTATTATTTTTTTATTTTTATTATGAATTGTCTATTACTATCAAATGAAGAAGTATCATTATTTAAAATAGGGAAACTTTTCCTGCAAGATGGCGCCAAAATCAAAAGTTACGTAATAAACTGTCACACAGTCAAATTCCTTATAAAATTACCTTTTCAATGATGTGTCACACTTAGTACTTTCCCTATTTCAATTTCATTGGTAATATTGACAGAGGGTGGGGAGGGATGTAGGATAGTTGAGGATATGATCGAAAGATGTCCCCTTTGAAATAAAAATCGACCTCTTTTCGCATTTTCTCCAAAAAAAATGTGTCTTCAAGATATGCGATCTGTTTCGTTTTCGGTGCCTCACCCTGTATATTTAAGGTAAAGTCATTACTGTTAGGAAATATATTTAGAAAATTATGTATTTATTAAATTCACTTTATCACCCTGTAAAATAAAAACTAGAACGTTTCCAAGAAAATTAAATTTTGCTTCTCTTAATAATAATTTCAGATCTACAAATCCCCTAGTTTCTGATACTGTATTTTGAAATATTCTGTATAAATAATGCTAAATTGGCCAGATTATAGTCAAACATAAAAAAGGAGGAAGGAAAGCAATAACTATAGGGTTTGGTCCAAAATTAGTATCTAAAAGCTTATTTTAGCCAAAAATGAAGAGTTAATATCAAGTTCTTAAGTAAGTATGTCTGCCATCCTCTATATAAAATAATTCCGTGTGTATGGGAAATTTGTTTTAAATGTTACAGGTGATATATTTAAAAGAAACGGACATAATAAAAATAAATATACCAATAAGCTTTTAATTTAATTAAACCAAAATGTACACATATTTATTTACTTCTGTCTACTAATTCATCGCATATAGAAGTATGTATATAAAAAAAATTATATTTAAATGTGGTGTAATATACAATAACTAGTATCTACAGAAAAAAACGTTTGATTTATCGGTTGAAAACCGTCACGTATAAAAATAGTAGATGTTAAACGTTTACGAAATCAACCAAAACGAAATTTAAATACGTTATAATATAAATTTTGTAGGAATTTAATTTGAATAAGTCTAGCCGTGTATTATTAACTTTATTTAGACGTAGAATAATATACAATAATTATTATATACTAAAAGATGTAAAAAAAACGTATCTTATTTAAAAAACAGTAAGTATAATAATCGTAAACTGTAAACGTATATGGAATCAACCAATACCTAATTTAAACGAAAATTACGTATAAAATACGTTAATTATACTATTGTGTGCTGTCTGGGTATTTTTAATTTCGAAATGATAAATTAAACTCTTTTATAAATAAAAAATATACTTAGATAATACGTACTAATACATTTGTTGTAAATAAATCACAATTTATTATTATCTTATCTAAAATTTTAAGTATCTCGCTGCCCCTTTTGGAGTATTTTCTTAAAACTTTCCTCAGCTATAGCATGCAAGTTAGCGGCCATAGTACTGCCGGTCTTCTTGACCAAGCTGTAAAAAACGCCTTTCTTCTCTAACAGACTGTATGGATGATCAAATTCCACTGCTTGTCCAGCATCCATCACCAAAACTTTATCGGAATCCATCACGGTATGCAATCTGTGGGCTATAGTTAGTACTGTACAGTTAGCAAACTTATCTCTGATGGTGTTTTGGATGATAGCGTCTGTCATTGGATCTACGTTAGCCGTAGCTTCATCCAGCACTAAAATTCGGTTTCTTCTAACTATAGCTCTGGCTAAACACACTAGCTGTCTTTGTCCAACGCTAAAATTTGAACCGCCTTCCGCCATCTTACTGTCTAGTCCTGCTGGTAATTCGTCCACTGCGTGTTTCAGCTCCACTTCGTCTAAAGCGTCCCACAAAATCTACAATTAAGTAATTAATACAATCAATTAACTTCATGTGGACCTACAAAATGAAAGTTTTGTGTTTGTTTCTTTTACGTATTCAAATTCAATAGCATAAAATATATTTGGAACTTAAATTGTACAGAACACGTTGTGATCATTATTGTGACATGTAAAAAGTCAATAAATTACTTGATTATCATCTGAACTTTGTTAATTAATATCTTTTTTTTTAGAAATATTAATAAATACTTACTTCATCTCTATGCTCATCAAATGGATCTAAATTTTTTCTCAACGTACCAGAAAACAAAACAGGCTCTTGCGGAATAATCGATATATTCGATCTTAGTACCTCTAATTTAACATTTTTGGTATCTACATCATCGATAACTATATTTCCATCAATGTCAGCCAATCTAAACAACGCCTGGATTAAAGAACTCTTCCCAGCTCCAGTTCTACCGACTATCCCGATTTTTTCTTTCGGATTTATTTCTAAATTCAAATTTTTAAGAACGTAAGGATCATCCTGAGAGTATTTAAGACACATCTTGTTGAATTTTATAGCTCCTAAATTAGGCCAATTTGGAGGAGTGTCATCTCTGATGCTGTCTTTCTCTATTGGCAGATCCGCGTATTCTTGCACTCTTTCTACGGAAGTCATTTGGTTTTCCAGCTCACTCCACTGTCTCATACCCCATTGGAACATTCCTGAGAGGGTAATGGCTTGAGTTAGAGATAGACCTACGTTACCGCCGAAAGACTCTGAAAATGGAAAATGTTTAACAATAAGTTTTGGAATCTTGGCAGTTCATTGAATGTATTCGTTCCTTTCTACTAGTACATATATTTACCTGACTGTATGAATAAGATACTAATAACGACCAATCCTATGAATACGATGCAATGAAGATCCAACCAAAATCCGAAACCCCTATTGATAGTTAAAAACATGTAGTATGCCGAAGAGTAATCATCTTGAAAATGATCAAATTCTTTGGTTAGTATTTGTTCAGCTCTAAACGCTCTAATTGTTGTAAGTCCTTGCAAAGAAGCTGCCAGATGGGTGAAGATAGGACTTCTCGCTAAAACAAACAACAACATAGACAAAATAGAAATGCATAATAGCTGATTAAGTATTTACCTACTGCTTCAACTCTTTTAATTTGTCTACTCGAAGCTAGAAAAGCTCTTCTGATGTAATAAAATATAATTAAAATCACTCCAGTCGGTAGGAGAATCCAAGGATTTACAGTTGCTATGACACAAATAGTTCCAGTTACAATAAGTCCAATCTAAAACAGTAAAATAAAACTAAATATTGTTCAAGGAACTTCAACATATTTTTGACTCAAAACGCTCCTGGTATTCATAGAAATTACTCGAAAACGTTGCGTCACTCGTAGTCACGTTGGACACAAATCACAAAGGGTACAAATGCAGTAAGTACAATTATAATACGGGATATTAAGAATAAAAATAGTTTTTAGTGATGCCTAAAAGAAAACCAGTGCAGTCCCATATTCTTTATTTAGTCGAAGACATTTTTAAAAATGTATTAGAAAAACACACAATTTTCCCACAAATATTATTGCTTTGTTGACAGAATAGGTAAACAAAATAATTTCAAATTACTTACCCCAATAGTGTCAACCAAACAGTTCGGCAATGTTTCATCCAAAGCGCCGATATCTTTAGAAAATCTATTCAATATTCTACCAATCGGATTGGTATTGAAAAACAACATTGGTGAATACACAAGTTTACCAAACATCTGGTTATGCATTTTAGTAGAAGCCGTTAGGCAATATCTGAAAAACCAAATAGATCTAGTAACAGCCAAAAATGCCGTACAAACAATCAAAATACTGTATATTATCAACGCGTTATTGTTTGTTAACAGTTTACTCCAAAACGCCTGATTGCTGTCATCTGAAATTGTCAATACTGAATCGTTTGATGATTGGTTTAGAAATAGTTTCGAGGCATTGTGTTCTACTCTCCATTGTTCTGCGTTAACCCTAAAAAATCATTTAAAACCTAATACATATTACAAAACAAAGTCAATCAACAATAATTACATAATAATTACATACCAAGTGGTAAGAAAAATATCAGACAAGCTTCCAAAAACTTGTGCAGCTGCGAAAGTAGAGAGTAATGCGACCGTCTTCAAAATGTTCCCTCCAGCTTTGAAATAATTTCTATACACCCTGCCGGATATTTTTCCTGTAGCTCTTTCTTCTTTCTTCAGCTCCACAACCTCTTCTTCAGCAAGTGATTCCATATCGGACGCAACAGATTCGATTCTTGGAAATTTCTTAATGTCCTGTTTTTTATCTTCATCCTCAGACGAAGCTAATAGCTTTGTGAAAGAACTGTCTGACTTCTTTAGAGCTTGGTAGGTACCGGATGCCTGAACCTTACCAGATTCCAGTAAATAGATACAATTAGCTGGGCGTAGGTATTGAAGCTGGTGTGTGACTAGAATAACACATTTGCTCTTTAAGTATCCAGTAATGCATTCTTTAAAAAGCTGTTTGCCAACGTGAGTATCGACTGCAGATAATGGATCATCTAGTAGGTAGATATCGGACTGTTTGTAAATAGCTCTAGCTAAATTGACTCTAGCTCTTTGTCCTCCGCTTAGAGTAACGCCTCTTTCTCCAACTAAGGTACGATCACCACGCGGAAATAAAGTTAAATCTCTTTCTAATGCGCATACTTTGATGACCTCAGCATATCTGTCTTCATCGTAATCATTTCCGAAAAGTATGTTCTGTCTAACACTGCCGCCAAATAACCACGGTTCTTGGGAGGCGTATGATACTGACCCTCTAACTTCTACAGAACCTTCAATGGGTACCAACTCCTTTAAAATAACATGTAAAAGAGTAGATTTTCCACCACCCACCGGACCAACAACTGCTACCAACTGACTAGACATAGCTTCAAAATTGATACCTTCCAATGTATTATCCTGTTGAGATTTCGTCCATTTAACAGCTACGTTTTTTAACTTAATTCCTGCTTCTTTTTTGTTTTCTACTTCCAGTTTTTGTTTTTCGCTGACTCCATTCATTATGTGCGGTAAGATATTTGTATTTCTCTTTAATTCTTCGTACATCAGAAACTTTTGAATCCTCGATATTGAGACTCTGGTTTCAGCGAATTGTGTTACGGCTTGTGGAAATTGTTGAGTGACTGCTACTCTCAAGAAACCGTAAAAGGATGTGACTGTGTAAGCGTACGAAGCTGTTAATCTGTTTCCAGTTAATACGAATGTCAGTACACAAAAAAATATAGCGTTTCTGCTCATGGTTAAGTTGAAGGACATCATTATAGCTCTGATTGTAGATGTGTGATAGATTTCATATATTTCTTTCCTGAAAAAATGAATTATTAAGAAATTAAGATTTGTTTCCATTAATTTATACTCACTGTCTTACGAATTCGACTAATTTGGCAAACGGTTTTTCCCATGTGTACATTTTGATGACTTGTACCCCTGATATTATTTCGTTCATTAATCTTACACGTTCATCCGTTCTTATTGCTGTTTTTAGTCTGTATTGCGAGGTTAATTTTGCCATATACACTGGAAAAAAATCGTAATGTAAAAATTGGTTTATATAAGAGCTTATTTGATTCAGGATTATCAAATACTTGTTATTTTATTGCAGCTTTAAGTAATCAAAAACGAAAAACCAAAGTTTTTCTCGAAAATAATCCTTCTATTCTAACTTATTTACAGTGAGATTAGAGGGTGTATCTAATGCACTTTATCATAATACTCTTTCACTAACTCAAAGCATTCTTTTTGGATTCCTATTGTCAAAGAACTGGATAGCTTTATTATGAACGTAATTGAGGAGTCATTGGTTATGACTCTTAGCAAAATTCTCAATGCTCTGGTTAATGGTGTTCATCTTGAGGTCCCTATGAAGGTCAGGGTTTCTCATGATACAAAAAATAACAGAGGTACTTAACTGACGAAATCTGGAGTGTGGAACATGGCATGACTTTGATCAACTTCTATCTCAAATTCGTAAAAGCTACGTATTTCTACTACATACGTCACAGTGACCTAGTATCAATTTGTGTAATTTCATACCTTCTTTTCATAATATCATGAGTATTTCTTACGTATCAAAGGTATCTAACCCTTTTGAAAGCGTTGTGCTTTGTGATTATTACTCTTGCTGGCACATCCACATAGCTGAATGTTATATGTGTCCACACTGGTTTGGATACCTATTTATATAAAAGTAATTGGACATGCTAGAATACCAGAAAGCGTGGACTCTCAAGTATTGTCTTACGCTCAGAGTAATACCCAATTATTTTACTATATCGGCGTAAGGTATTTGGGTCTTTTATTTATGAAAACTATAACAAGATGTTATCTTTTATTTGTAAAATAAATATGTACAAATTTAATTTCATTTATTTTAATTTGACAATGTTCTGTCCAAAAGTCTATCTAATAATACATTTTATAAATAATATTACAATGTTCTAGCTATATCTTCATATTTTTTTAGTGTGACGACGACATTATCATCTGCAAATGTAGCTATTGATAATTTCTTTTTTTTATTAGTATATAAAACCTGATGAGAGTAAAAGGGATTGGAAATGGCTTACAATTGACAAGAGAAGAGCTTTCTGCACCTGACATGTAGCAAGAGCTTGATAGGAGAAGGAAAAACACCTAGCAGTTGCTTCAGACCAACAAGCACCGTTAAAAATAACGTTCAGATAGAATCAAAAACAGCTCTAGTACTGCCTACGAGTAATCCAAACAATATAAGAGAAAGTACTCTAGTTCCAAAATTTTACTGGTATATGGTAGATACAATACTCTCTTTTTGTGGTACTCTTGTTTTAATTCCGCTTATAGCTTAAGAAGTAGAATGAACTTACTTTGGAATGGAATAAAGCTCAGCAAAAACATGCATCCCACCAATCCAGTGGGGCCAACATATAAATATAACATAAACATAACAATGACTGTTTCTGTAGGCGCCAACCATATGAGGTGTATAAATTGTGCACTGAAATCGAATCTACTAACGTCATTGGACAACAAGTTCACCATTTGGCCGATAGTTGTCTCTGCTAAAGAACTTTTACCTAGAAAGATAATTAAAAATAAAATAAATTGGGTTAATAATGAAAGAAAAACATCATTACTTAATTTTAAAGCTTTCCTGTAGATCAATGAACATGCAGCTACTCTTATTCTCATTCCTAAAGCCAGTACTCTCATCTGATAATTATGGACGGAGGTAACTTGAGTCAAAGATGCTAAAACTATGAGGAATGCGCTTACATATACGTCAGTTTGGTTTACTTCTTCGGGTTTCATTTCGAAAAACGAAACTAGCCTTGAGATCAACATTGGTTGAGCTATCCTAAAAACTAATATTATTAATAGCTATTCTACTTGTTACAGTCGGATATTTAATAATATATGATAAAGATGAAAGAGATATTTAGAATATGAGAGAGAGAGAGAGATATGCTTTATTGTCGTAAAAAAATTTACAAAAATTTTATAGACAAAGCGTGTAACTTAAATACTAAACATATTATAAAAATAACTAAACAGCAGAAAAAACAAACAGAAACAAACAGACAAAATAGGAATAACAATTGCAATGGATATGCAATATCCGTCATTATAATTATTCTAATTTAATTTTTAAATTTAAAATTAAATTTAAACTTTAATATTTAATTATTTAATTAATGCCATTGTAAGTGGAACTCAAATGTCTAAAGTACGTTATAAAATTCTGCTACTGTGTAATATGGTCTTTCTAGAAGAAAAGCTTTAGCCAGTCTTCGGAACTTATCGTATGTATTTATAGATTTTAATTGTATCGGAAGGTTATTATACAATTTTTTGGCATTGTAGGTAATGGAATGTTTTAATAGGTCAGAAGTGGGCATTGTTAAATAAACATCAGTCTCTAAATTTCTTGTAGGATATCTACGAGTCGGTCTTTCGGATAAATTTTGAATGTGCTTGCGAACTAAGCAGACGGATTCGAAAATAAATAGAGCAGGAAGGGTTAGAATTTTGAAATTTTTGAAGTAATTTTCGCAATGTGTCCTACTATTTAAACCAAATACATAGCGGATTGCTCTTTTTTGCAGTTTAAAAATAGATTCGAAAAGGTATAAGCTACAAGAACCCCAGAAAGGTAAACCATAGCGAAGGTGAGATTCGAATAAGGAAAAGTAGTTTATTAATGCAGTAGAAGGAGTCAGCTCTTTAGAAACCGATTTAATGGCAAAACATGCGGAGGATAATTTTTTTGCTAAGGTATCTATATGAGCAGACCATTTTAGAGAATTGTCTATATAAAGACCTAAAAACTTGATTGAAGTCACCGTTTGGATCAGATTATTGTTTAGAGTTAGAGGTTGTAAAGTACTTCTGTAAGACAATGCTACAGTTTTACTGGTGTTGAAACAAAGTCCATTCGAATCAGACCAGGACTTAATAGTCACTAGATCTTCACTTATGATAGATTGTAATGTTTGCATGTTAGAATTATTCCAGGTTACACTGGTGTCATCAGCAAATAAAGTAATTCTACCACTTATTCTTAAGTCTGTGATGTCGTTGATGAATAATAAAAACAAAATTGGACCTAATACTGATCTTTGAGGTACTCCACTGCTTATTGCTAGATTTGTAGAATCCTCACCATTCGCCCGCACCTGTTGATTTCTATTTTCTAGGTAAGTTTTAAACCATTGTAAAGGAGAACCCCGTATGCCATAAATTTGTAACTTATTAATTAAAATATCATGATTTACACAATCGAAGGCCTTTGCGAAGTCACAAAATACTGAAGCGGTGAAAAGTTTATCATTAAGTGAAGTGTATATTTCATTAAGAACGGAAAACATTGCGTCGCTAGTGCATTTTTTAGGTAGAAAGCCATACTGATGAGCTGTGAGGATGTTATGCTTGAAAAGAAAGGGCAAAAGACGGTTTTTCATTAGCCGTTCTACTATCTTCGATAAGGTAGGCAATATCGCGTTAGGTCTATAGTTACAGGTTTTGGTTTTGTCGCCACCTTTATGAAGTGGGATTATTATAGCTGTTTTTAGACAGTTAGGAAAGAGACCAATTTCAAAGGATTCATTAATCAGTGAAGTTAAAATGTTGATTACTACATCCGGTATATTTAGAAATATTTTGGTGGATAGGCCATCAATTCCACAGGAAAATTTATTTTGGATGTTGTTTATGGTTTGCACTAGTTCATGTTTGTCTACTGGTCTTAGGAAGAAACTTTCAGTGATCCTTTTAGTAGGTAGGAGGAAGGAGAGAGCATCCTGACTCGGAGCTATGTTAGATTTGATATTTTTACTTACATTTACGAAATAATTGTTTAGTTCATCTGGGCTAGGATTTACACTGTTTGAAGAACGGGTTTTATTCCTTAATTCATTTATTATAGACCAGGTTTCTTTGGAGGAGTTTTTAGCTCTTGCGATGCGATTCTTGTAATAGTTTTTCTTAGCAGATTTGGTGATTTTCCGATACAATATTCTGTAGTTGTTGATATAGTTTAATATTAGGGGATTATCTGTGTACTTTTTAATATACATGAGTGACCTCATATTTTTAGATGATGTTCTTATTCCTTTAGTTGTCCAAGATTTATGACATTTAGTTTTAATGAGGCGAAGGGGGAAAGTTGTATTGAAACACATAATTATTTTATTTAAGAAGTCTAAAAATTTAGAGTCAATATCTTCAGAAAGACCATTCCAATCAGTAGTTAGACATAAGTTATAGAAATTTTTGAAATTATGCTTAGAGAAAATTCTACCTAGCTGACCGACTTTTTTTGGAGCTGTACGGGGTATCAAAAATTTGGCAAATACTGCTTCGTGGTCTGAGAGACCTGAGCTAATTACTTGGTGCTCTACATCAACGGGTTTAAAATCAGAGACTACGTAATCTATAATTGTAGATGTTGTTTCTGTGATTCTAGTTGGAGAATTTACGTGCATAGTGAGACTGAATGATTCAAAAATATTGATCAAAGACTTTTGAGTAGCACATACATTAGCAAAGTCAATATTAAAATCGCCGCATAAGATTTTCTTACTTTTTATAGGCAATGCGTTAAGTAGATTAAGAAGATTCTCTAGAAAGAGGTGAACATTTGATTTAGGTGTTCTATAAATACAAATAATAAACAAATTAATGTTTTTGTTGTTTACAATGGAAAATTCGAAGAAATTTTCAGCTTGTAGAAAGTCTTAGATACAGCAGAAAAGTCCTTGTCTAAGGATAAAATTACCTAAAAAAGATAGGAAGCCATAAAAGACATGAGGAAAAGATAATAATGAGAGGAAAAAGAGAAATGAAGCAGAGAAGAAAACTGCAAATAAAAATGAAATCAGAACGATGAGAAAAGAAAGTAAAAAAATGAGAAAAAGAAGGTAAAAACTAGGTAAATGTAAGAAAAATAAAAAAGTAAGAAAAAGAAAAAAATGTTGAATCTAAAAATACTTACTTAACGAAATCAGTAAATGAGTTGTATACTCCGAAAAATAAAATTTCATATTTGAATAATAGAAATATCGCTCTCAATAGAGATGGATTGGATTTTTTCAGTTCTTTGTCCCACGCTTCTTGTAATTTCGTGCCTAGAAAATCGGATTTTTGGGAATTCGCGGTTTGGTACATGTCATCTTCGGTTAAGTTGCGTTTTAGTCCTTTCGAAAGGTAACCGGGAAACCAGCTGAAATATTTATGAAATTTATGATGACCCACCAGTAAATTAATTATTTTTTTTACACTAACATATTGCAAAAAAATTGAATGTAGGTTTTCTTACGGCCTTTTCTTTTAATTTAAATATCACAAGAATATGATCAGAATACTCTGCTTTTATAAGTATACACTTCAGTAATTGACTAATTGGAATACATTAAAATGTTGTCTTATCAATTTGTTATTACTGCGTTGTCTTTATTCATGGCAATTCAACATTTTCTTGGTAATGCATCCATTTTTCAACCATTATTTGACAAAATAATCGTAAAAATAATTTATCTAACCTGTGCGGCCTGGATCCATGGCGTTTTAAACTAATTAACCGTTTATGTCAACAAAGTTTACGTTTTTTTGCAGAAAGTTGTGTTAGAAGTAAAGTTAAAAACGAAAATAATGACTTCAATCAATAAGTGATAAAACTTTAAAATTTGTACGTCTATTTTAAAAGGATTCTACTCTTACCAAAAGAATATTTGAGAAAATATATTTGTTCTTTGTAAGGGATGAGTTTTTCTTATCACCTGATTCTGTTTGATTTCTTCCATGATTGCTGTTTCTTTTCAGTCCTGTAATAAAAAAAGGATTTTGACCATTTTACATTAAAACATGCGTTGAAACTTTCTTTCACTCAGAACCAAGCATTACTTTGAATTTTTAGTAATTTTTTCTTTAATATACTGAAATTCATATAAAACCTAAAAATGTCAATGTGACATATTCATCGATGATGAATAATCATAAATACCAAAGAGACAAAATGTTTCATTCATAAATCACATACAATTGTGGACTGTTGTTTTAAAATTGTTAGTGGGTGGAAGAGAGAAAGACAGATCTCTTATGACTGGCTGGCAACGTTGTAAACAATGTCCATAATATGCTCGCCAGTGGCGTAGAGTTTTAAACTTACCAGTACTGTCAGAGTAGTATGTATGTATGTATGTATGTATGTTAAAAAAATACGTAAATATGTAGGTATATTTTTTTAGTAATATAATTATAATGATTTTTTCATGTAGGTAGATTAGATTATGCGTTGGACGTTATTTGTCCTCGTCCACCGCGACCTTTTCAGATCTATTGTGGGACTCCTGTTTGTTTTAGAGTATGTCATCTAGCCTGGTCTTTTTATTAGTCTTAGTAGCTTTGACAGTGGCTCCCGCATGTAGTTGCATGCAATTGGCTTTTCTTCGCCCAATGTTAGAAACCTCACTCCAGCCAGGCATTCACATTGCCACAAGACGTGGAATATTGTTCCCTCTTCTTCTTTACAGAACCTGCACAAAGTTGCTTCTTCTGCTAGATTTATGACACTCATGTGCCTTTTGAGGCGACAGTGTCCAGTAAAAAGGCCTACTGTTATCCTAACGATTTGACGCTTTTGATCCAGTAGGTCTTTCGTGAACTTGGCCGATGGTTCCTTGATGAACTGTTTGGCCTGTCTTAGTCTTGGATAGTTGTTCCACCATTCCTGAGACTCTGTTTGCATCCATTGTTTAATGGATGCCTTGCACAATGCCTTAGCAACTCAACAGAAGGGTCCGGGGCCTGTCATGGCCTTATCTGAGCCTCCTCGGGCTAATTCGTCGGCCTTTTCGTTGCCCTGATATCCCTCACCTTATTTTAACTACTTAGCTCTGTCAGATCTTCTAGACAGTCATTCACCAGTCGTGATTTGATTTCTGGTGAGAGAATTGCCTTCAGAGTATATGACAATAGTTTTGCATGATTTTTCATGTAGGTAAATTCAAGTACAAGTAAATTCAAATACAAGCGAATTCAAGTTACCTTTCGATTTTTAATATTTATTGGTTTATAGTTTATTGGCATTTACTATATATTTGCCTGGTATGATGTTAACCAAAATTATTTAAAATTTTAAATTAACATTAAGTAGGTAGCGGTATCTAAATAAAACACTGTCCTAAAAATATATAATTTTTTAATTAATAATTACAAAAAAACATGGTATGGCAAAAAATATCGTAAAAAAACTGTGAAATTTTTAAAATAATGTTTTAAATATATAAAATACTTTAATTTTAATAACTAAAATTTCATTTAATTTTTTTATGCTTAGTTATTAATGTTATAACTTACTGCAACGTTTTTTTTGCAGCAGGTGGTGTTTCAAAAACAGTTGAATCAGAACTAAAAACCCATACATTAGATATACATACATATAGGTAATAAATAATATTTACAGGTAAACAAAAAATTAATATTTTGTATTTTTATCTGTTGGATAAGTCATCCAAAAATAGAAAGCCCTCACACCGTCTGGAGTTTGCATCTTTTCTAATATATCTAGTACCATTTGCACGTACCAAAACATTTTCAGGAAAACAATATTCTAAACACAACTCTGGGTTTTTACGAAGGGGCTGATTTTCAAGGATTCCTATTAGAGAAAACCAAAGTTTTCTTTTCTCAGTATCTTGCGGAAACCTAAATAGAGTAATAAAAAATATGTATAGGTGCTCAATAGGTAAATCATTTTTAAGGTATTCTACATTTTATGTTAAATTTTCTTTGCCACTATTCAATAATTATTTATTGGTATAATTTACTAATTTATAAAAGGAATATCACTTTAAAAACTGTTTTAAGACTGTTATAGACTACACAAGTTTTTGATACAATTTCTTGTACAATTTAAATTGTATATTATCAAATCTGCAGTAAATTGTCTGAAAAATTAGATTGGATAATCATTTTTCAAACAATTTACTATGTGATCCTATATAATTTAAATTCTATAAGAAATTGTATCAAATCTTGTACAAGCCCTACTCCACTGGTTCAATTGAAAACAACATATCTTAACCTAAAAATACTTACCGATGAAACCATACATTTCGACTTAAATGATCTACCTTTTTGAACACTACACATGCATGTACCATAATTCTTTATATTTCTCACAAAAGTTCACAAAATAGTATATTATGCAACGATCATGTAATGATGGTTATTAATACACGAGCATTAACCGGGATACGAAACGAGCCAAAGGCGAGTTTCGTATGGTTTATGCGAGTGTTTTAATAACCATTACATGAGAGTTGCATACGCTATTTTTTCTACACCCGATAAATAATCAAGACCTATAAATATTCTATTTATATTGGTATTGAACACAATAACAGTAATTACTCGTATTTCTATAAAAAATTCTACAAAATTGTAATTAATGGTATTACCTTGGGTACTGGTATTACCACAGATTTTTGGGGCAAAATATTTTGTACTGCATTTTCTCCTTTCTCCTATATGTGTGGAGGAGTGTTCTATATCGCTGATATCAGACATTTTAATATTATAATTATCGAAGTTTAGCTATCTACGAAAATTTAATACGTTTTGACAACTAAAACAATTACATAGGAATTTAGGACAAACGTCAAACATCATGCTTGATTGAAAAATTGTAGGTTTCTATTGATTAAAAATCTGTATCATAATGAAAAATCTGTATCATAATGGGTATCATTATGAAACGGATTTTGGGCATATAAGTGCATTATTATAATACGGGTGTAGAAAAATAGTATTGTATAAATGAATAAATCAATAAGTCACACAGAAACTGTCAGATACTGTCAGAAATACAAAATAGCTGTTAGACCTGATTGGCAACGTTGCAAGAACGCGAATTTTGGTTGACAGGTGACGTGTCCCATGTCATCCGTTTAAAAACAATCCATATTTTAATCAAATTTTATAATTTTTTCAAAATTCAACACTACAAATCTCTCATAGTCTTTTATTCTCTCCAAAATAATGAATTCATGGGATATGTTTGTTCATATGATGCACAGAACACTCACTTTCTGTGATGGTTTATGATTGACGTCAAGTACCGTGCACCTTAGCATCGGAAGGGGGGGGAAGAAAGATTCTGACTTACAATCATAAAAAGAACGTACATCTCAGCTTAGTCGATGTAAGTTAGCTCAGATTAGTTGTAAAAAGAAAACGACTAATAATTTGCCACATAAAAAATGTAAACAATTTGGTCTCTACTAAGGAGCAAGATGGGTTTATTTAGAGGATAACCCTATTTTGAAATCCTGCAGACTTTGTTTCAATGACGTAATTATAGAAAGAATTTTGTTATTCCTCGAGATCTCTATAATCTATAAGACACTTCTTTAATGTTGATTATTATTAGCCAATTAAGCAAAAGCATATACTGAGGTCTCCTATCAAGAATGGAGCTTTGATTTTCTTTGATGATATCTTCTAACTGATAAAACTATTGATTTTCAGAATTTTTGGTTAAACTTTAGTGCTTTAAATATACTGTATCTTTTGTTTATTTTAAAAACAGTTTATTTATTTAAAACAGTTTATTATTCATAATTTATTTACATACACCAAACACTAATTAATTTATTCATACTGTAATACTTAGTTGTTTTATATTTTAACTTATAATTTAATTTATATAACAATTCTATCTTCAACTTCTCTGACAGTATAAAGTGTATTTTAACAAAAATGCTGCGCACCGTACTGTTTTTGAACATACTAATAGATGAGTTCTGGCAACAATTTTAGCGTTTCGTCTACATAGGCGTATCGAAAAGGGGTTTTGTGGCATGATCTGACTGGTCGCAAGACAGAACTGATTTTTCTAGTTATATACCCATTCATCCATTCAACCAATTAACTGCGAAGGCATTTTTCTTGCTGCCATTAATAAAATACAAATAGAACATTCCTTATTATATTAATAAAACGGAATATATTTTTTTACTCCTATAGTAGTTTATTAACAAAATGTTTAACAGCCACACCTCGTTAAATAGGTATTTGATAAATAAAATAACATTTTTACGGCAAAATATCAGTAATAGAGGCATGTGACTTTATCAGGTGTAAATATAACATTATTTTTTATTGAACAAATTATTTTAGTCTAATTATATATCAAACGTAAAATATTACACCCAAAAATAAATATTAAATGAATATGAAACGTATAAAAGCGACTCTTCTCGTATTTTTTTAGTTCTGTCAACATGGAGTCTAGAAACATTAAATTTATACTGAAGATGAACTACTTAGTAGGAGTCAATCCTCAATATCGCGGAACTGTCGTACAAAAATTTTTATTTTTTCTCTCGTTTGGTACAGTCGGAGCAACAGCATGCTTGGTTATAGCTGTGTTTTTTTTGTGAAAAAAATTTGCACATGATAGATATCACAGAGGCTGCGCAAGCCTTGTCTTTTTGTGCACATGTAAGTGTTTTTTTTTTCAAATTTTAGACGATATCCTTGACTTTTTTTTGTTTACGTCATCTTATTTTTAACTTCTTCTTCTACTTTTTAATGTAAAAGAAAGCTGTTGAGTTTTATTTAGTCTAAAACCATTAAAATTGCGTTTTACAGATTGATTTAATAAGTGTAGCATATCTGCTACGTTACATGTTCAGTATCTTTAATGTCGTTGCATATTTGCTACAATGCGGTTTCAGTCAATACATATTTTTGTCTGTTATGACTTAAAATACGTATTTCTCAAAAAACTACTTTTTGTTTACTTTTAGACCATGTTAAAACTTGTTTGGTTTCGCAAACAACATGATAAAGAACTGGATTTGTTACTGGAAACTAAGAAATTTTGGGACGTTAATGATTTAGAAGACGAAGAAGAGAAACTGCAGATGTTGAAGTACTTGCGCTCTTTGAGAGTGTTCGTTACATGGTACTTGGTTTTTGCGTGGGTGCCATCAAGTGTTGTAATATTAAGACCGATATTATTTGGGGTTTGTAATGACAATTTATTTTTATCCCAAAATTCCGCCTGTATTGT